AAATCTACAAATATCTTCAGAAAAATTTTCAAGGTAACATTTGCCTTTTCCAGACTAAAACATACCCACCCCCCTTTGCCCATACGTTACTGTCTCATCAAAAAGGTTAAGTTCTATTTGGAAGTCATTTCCTGAGTTAGCTGATTTGGGGAAAGACAAACTTCTATATAAAATAATAAAAAGTCTAAAAACAAGAAGCTAAAATGCAGAAACTAATTTTGCTCTTTCAGTGAACTTCATCCAAATATTAATACAATTAGTGGCATGTAGTTTCTTAATTACAGATCATGCATACAATTATCAATGGCCAATAGAAGCAATGTAAATATTGGACTGCAAAATAATATTATAGTTATTTATACATTTTCATGTGCCATTAAAACAAAACTAAAGGGCTGGGTATATAACTCAGCGGTAGACATGAGCTTAGCATGTGGCAAAGTCCTAGGTTCAATCCTGAACACTGGGGGGGAAAAAACTAATAACCATGACTTAGAAAAAAATTAATATTGAGGAAATCACAAATAAAATAACTGAAGGGTTAAGAAGACCAGAAATAATCAGATGAACTTTCAACTTGATTTTATTTTAAGTGAACTGCAAGAATGCTTACCTTTACATATTAAACACTGCTATAAGGATCACAAAGCATTTGCCACCTATTTCAAAAGAGGTTCTTTCTTTCATTTCCCAACTATATTATCCTGTATCTACCAATATCCATATCAACTTCACTATCAGTACTGTCAAATGGACACAATCCAAAGTTTACTGAAATGTTTTAGTATTAAATCTAAGTCTAGAATTCATTTCTCACAACAATGATTTTCTTTTGCCCGCACTTTCCATTTATTAAGGATATGAACTATCAAAATATAAAAGCCATACTATATGAAGCTAACCAAAATCACTTATGTTGCACTTTATACTTAAATTTAAAAGATTTTGCATTACGCTTATTGGCACAATTAGAAATACACTTTCAAATACCAAGACTTTGAACAGATATGCAAAAACAAGTACTGCATAATAGGAATGTATTTTTTTTTAACAGATACTATCAAACTGCCCTTAAAATAAATGATCTAATTTATAATTCTACCAGCAATGCAAGAGGTCTTATTTCCCACCTCTTTGGGATTACTTAAGATCTGAAAATCTTACAGGGGAAAAATTGGCATCGTCATCAGTTTTAATAAAATATTCTCAATCTGCACTACACATGAATTACCTATTTTGTAATGAATATACATATACTAATATTTTTCCAGCTTAATTACTCTCTTATACATCACTTTTTCTAATTAAAAAATAAAATGTTCAAAGGAAAGGTAATCTAACAATGCCCCTTCATCCCCCTTCCTTTGGCCCTTCCCAAGTATCCTTCACTAAGAAAGAACATATACTTCAAGGATTTACAGGAATTAAGCATGGCCTGCTTGACAGAGAAGATGCGAGCATTATTAAGAAAAAAAAAAACTCATGCAGGTTAATCAAAGCTTCTGAATGTTATAACTTAGTTTGTGAGTTTGCTATAATGTTTCTTCCAATCCATGTTGTTTTTCTGGAAGAATGTATTTTAAATTAAAACTCTAAAATTAACCTCACAAAAGTATGTCAAATAGATTGAATTAGAACAAGGATGGATATGAGGTTACACATTTTAAATCTGATGCCATCAGATATGTGGAGATACATGTGAGAACACAGATTGGATTAAAAGCTGAGGTATTATCCACACAAAGATGAGAGTCTAAGCTGAAAAAAAGGGATGTGCTGTTTAGAATTTAGATATGTGGTAAAGGAGCAAAAAGGCCTCAGCCTCTATCCAGTGAGGAGCCAAGAAAGCAGACATAACAACTTTTTTCTCCCCGAGTCCCCCAAGTTTCTAGGGATTGAACTCATGGACGTTTTACCACTGAGCTATATCCCCAGTCCTTTTTTAAATTTTTATTTTGAGACAAGATCTTGCTAAATTGTTTAGGGACTTGCTAAGTTGTTGGGGCTGGTTGAACTTTCGATCCTGCTGCCTGTTTCCTGCATCAGTGGAATCACAAGTCGATAACACTGTGAAGGGCCACAATAACTTTTTTAAAAATGAAAACAGCCAAGCAACATTTTTTTAAGGATAGAATGAATGGTGGTAACAAAATTAAATGAGACACCTGCAGGGAAAACTGAGCAAAGATCACTACACTATTCTATATGATACTAAGATGTTAGTTATATAATTTTAACTTAAATCAGATTAAAGGTGTGTGAAGGAAATGGTACAGTCTAGAGTTCACATCAGTTCAAAGAGTTTGTGGAAAAAAGATAATTAGATAACCTGCTTACATTCTGACACCTTCCACAGTATAAATAAAATTAATATAATATAAAGTCAGAACCAAGGTAAGAATAACTTGCTCCAGTTATATGAACAATGAAATTGCTATGGTTAAGTACTGAATTCACTTCAACCTTATTTATCAGCAAGGCAAAAAGGTAAACAACACAGATCATGTAATTTGAGATGTCTAATAAATTTTCAAGGGAAACTTTTTCTGGAAACTAAAAACAAAAGTTCTCATGTATGAGCCTGAAATTCAAAGGCCAATGTCCTTGACAGGTATTACAATAAATGAAGAAATTTTATTCTCATTTAGTGAATAAACTCTTATATAACTTTTAATATATGTCAAACATTGTTCTAAGTCTTTTACAAGATGGTAACTCATTCATTTTCACATGGTTCTTTCTGTTAATAACACTACAAAATCTGACAGAGTCCTGAGAGAGAGCTGGTGTTCCAGGTGGACTGCTAATTGAGGCTGAGCATTAGAAAAGATAACAGGATCAAATGGAAGCTTACCTCCAGAATAAGAGATATGTTTGTCACATAAAGGCAAAATGAAAGGAATCAAAAGAAGAAAGCTACATTTGGAAACAAGACCATTCAAGAAATAGAAATTTAAACCAAATTAAAAGGTTTCCTGACAACCTTGAGACCAGTGCTCTTCACATTTAAGACAGCTGGCATTCACTCTTGAACGAAATCCTTGACTGAAAGCTTTGAGGATTATCATATACCTGAATTACTCCTGACTAGCTCTTTTGGTGGGACATAACATATTCTCCATTCATGAACTTCCCCTTGATATATGGTAAACAAGGTTATCTTACTGGCACAATTCTCCCAAGGCATCTGAGCCTGAGAATTCCCTCCATAGACTGACTTTCTCTTTTTTGAGAAGGAAGAGGAAGAACAGGACAGCACGTTAGACAAAATAGTGTTTTCAAAGTTAGCACTATGAGATGATTTCTTATTAAAAGACAATGAAACTAGAAACTTTTGGGAAACAAACCAAAAAAATGGTTCAATGTCCTGACAAAGGAAAATAAAGGACACTAAAGTCACTGAAGAGGGACAGAACCGAAGATATATTTTTAATAGTAGTTCCCATCCTGCAGTCTTTAAGGATAACTTTTAAAGCTAGCTGCATTTTACATTTCTCTGAAGTTTGGGCACATGTATTTAAACTCTTATTACATGCCTGATAAATCTGATGTTAAAAATAAAATTGAATCCCAGATGAGATTAAGCACACCTATTTTAGTCTTTAAAACATAAGAGAGCTGCAAATTTAACAAAAGTCTAGTCTTTTTACAAAGGAATTTGAGCCATCTAACCCAACACATTAAATAATGTATCTAAGGGCATAAGACTCCTTTGTGGCACAAAAACATTATCACTGAATATTCCACAAATTTTAGCCATCACCAAGTGCTTTTTTGTTTGTTGGTTGGTTTTTAACATTTTCAGCCTGGGAAAACAACTTCAACCAGGAATGTTTTAGGGAGGTGTCAACTTCAATTACAGGAAACATTAAACAGGCCTGAGACTGAAATTATAAGAATCACACTTTCAGTTTGATTTAAGGTACTCTGGGGGCTGGAAACAGTAAAAGAAGTAAAAAGGGAGGCAAGACCAGTACATATTCTGTCAGGTTAAAGTAAAAAAAAATAGTAGGATATAAAGAAAGCAAACAAGTAAACGTTTACCCTCTGGGGTCTCAATTTATATTACATGATAAAGGTATTCAGGAAACTGCTTCTCATATTAAGAAAAATTAATTCATTAAATCGCTGCTATAAACATAAAAGATGAGTCAATATCCTATCACAATTAAATCACAAAACCTATTTAGATTTTTCACTGGTAAGTGTTTTACGTCACATTTCATCTTGGCTATTCAACTATTTAAAAAAAAAAAAAAAAGGAAAAGAAAAAGAAAAATCTGTCCATCCCATGAAGAGACCAGACAGGACAAAGTTGGTCCACAGTGCAAACAGGTGGTCTGTGCTGCATGCCTCATCTTCTCCGCCACGTGACCCTATTCCTTCTAATCTCATTTCTGAAACATTATTTCCGGTGGCCCAGATGGCTCTACAAATGCCTGAAGGAGTCGCCCCAGAAGTATTAAGAACACTGCCACATCTGGCTTACAGTAGGATGGTAGAGACCAAAGGAGGGCAGGCAGGGTGGAAATTCGAGCCTGGAAAAGCGACGAGTCAGGAAGGTACAGGCTCTGCTCAACACACGACTCTTGAATGTCACTCCGTGGAGATATTCGTGTGGCATCACCCACGAAGGGCTGGGCGGGCGGCCAGGTGGTGCAGCCGCGAGCCAGCTCGGGCGCCAAGCACGCGGCAGCGGCCTCTCGGGGCTGGGTGCAAGCCAGGCCAGCCACTCCGGACCCAATGCGTATCCACCGGCGCGACCCGCGCCGGGGGCGGGGAAGGGAAGTGGGAGCCGGGCATAGGGGCGCGGGCGGGGAAGACGCGGGCGGGGCCGGGCCTAATCACATGGCGCAGACGACGCAGGGCCGACCGGCATCTCTTTTCTTTCTCTTTCTCGAACCTCTGCCCCCATCCCACCCGACCGCAGCACCCACCCCCGCCCCCGGGCCCGAGCCCAGAGCGGGAGGAGGCCTCCTCAGTCTCGCGGAGACACTCACTTTTCGCCCGCGGCCACCAGCTCTTTGCCCTCGCTGTTGCCGAACGAGTCCGTCTCCCCGGGGCTGTCCTTGGGGCCAGCCGCTGGCGGGGCTGCGGGCGGCGACGCCCCGGACTGCGGCTGCGTGCCCCCCTTGCCCAGCTCCTGCAAGATCTCCGAAGGTGAGCTGGACAGGCGCCCCGCGAAGGGCCCCAAGGGCCGACCGCCCCCACCCCACCACGGGTGGAGTCGCGCAGCGGTCGCCGGGCCCGCGGCCGGCCAGCGCCCGCCCCGGGGGTGCCGGCACAGGGTGGCTAGGGGCTGAGCCCGCCTCAGAGCCGCGCTGACAGCGGCCGGCGGTCGGAGGAGTAGATCCCGCAGCATCGCCGAGCCTCGCAGTCGCATCATGCCTCTGGGTCCGTAAGCGGCCGCTCGACAAGGATGCTCCGGGCGTGGGCGGCCGCTTTCCTACTGGAACGCGGTCTACCGCTGGGCAGCAAGAAGACAGACGGAGAAAGGTCAGCGACGTGGGTGTGGTTTCGGCTATGGCTCCTGCAGCTGGAGACGCTGTAGCTGCTCAGGAGGATACTGGTGGACGCTTCTCCTCACACCGCCAAGGGCTCCGCACTGAGGCTGACGCGCAGGGGAGGGCCGGAGACATTCCGCGCTCACCCACCCGAGGGCGGGAGGACACCGGAGACCCGCCCCCCTCTCCTGCTCCGATTGGCTCAAACCTTCGACCTCTCTTCTCATTGGTGATAGACGCAGTCAAATTTCTCCCGGCTCCCGGTGCGCAGAAAGTCGGGCGGGGACTGACGGGGGGCGGAGCCTAACGGGGGGCGGGGGGGGGCGACAGGGAGAGGAATCAAACTGACGTGTGAGGCTGGGGATTCAGGCCCAGGGTAGCTCCTTACCTCGTGGGTCCCGGGGCTACCGGCCTGCTGACTGAGGGCTTAGAAGGTCTCATCATTTATGAAGCGGGTGGATTCCTTCTGGAATCTGGAGCCTCTAGCTGTTGTGAAGACCAGTGGGCACAAGCCCCTGAAGCCAAGCGCTTGGCGGTCAGCAGGTTGGCAGAGGCTGGCCTCTGGCGGGGCCGTGGAAGTTCGGCTGGTACTGCTGGCCCCTACCTATACGATCCCGGCGTGAAGTGACTCCCAGGGCCCCTGTCCTGTGAAGGCCCCAGACCAGCTTCATCCCTCTCCTAAATTTGCTTGAAACTTTCCATGGTTGGCTGCTACCCAGATGTGAAGTGTTTTGGAAAAAATGAGCAAAATCCTTTCAGCTATGCGACTTAAGCCATTTAGAAAGTTAGGGTGTGTGGGTAGGGTAAAAAGAGGGAGAAATTAGGGCTGAAGTTGTGGCTCGGTGGTAGAGCACTTGCCTAGCATGTGTGAGGCACTGTGGTCCATCCTCAGCAGCACATATAAATAAACGAATAAAATAAAGGTCCATTAACATCTAAAAATAAATAAATAAAGAGGGAGAATTCCCAGAATACAACGCTTTTCCTATTAAAGAATATTTTTCTAAAAAAAGTGCATATCACTACTTCAAAAATATTTTGAACAGCAATGATTCCATTAACGCTAATTTACTTGAAAGTAAAATTGTAGATATTTCACTATTTTAAAATTTGCTTTGTTTTAAAATACAAGCATCCAAATGCTGGTTCTAAACCTTTCAATCCAGTATCACTTTATCCACTTATTCTTTGGGAACTGTGGCAAAGGAGCCAAGGATCATATAATCTCTGAACCTACACATACGCTTCACTCCAGAATTAAAAAGAAACTGTTTTTAGACAATTGCCTGAAACGATTAGATTTAAATGTATAGATCCCCAATGGTTAATAAGAATAATTTTTATATATTTGGAAAGGGTCATATGTTAGGTACATTAACTGATTACCAGATTTAGTAATCTATTGAATCTTGGAATTTTGCACTAGATAGTTACTAGGGAACCTCTGTGTACCTACACATTCTGTGACCTTTGGCATATGGTAGCCTTGCCATGTTTAAGTCTTTTTTTTCCAATGTTCTTTAACATGGACAGAGTGATCATGTGTAAAATATTTAATCACATTTTTTAAAAGAAGTGCAGTTAAGATACTTGCAAATTATTTTGGATGGCTTTTATTACAGCTTAATGTTACTTGTCATAAAAACATTGATTAATCAAAGTAATGATATATTCAATAAAAGGAACATCAACATCAATGTCTTGCAAACCTTAATGTTCCCCAATCTCTTAGATACCACTAGTTACCCATTTTGACCACCTTTTTCTCAAGCACATCCAATCTGACGAATCCAGTTATGTTTTTCTCCAATTTTTCTTAGTTTGTCTAGTTTTTCTATGAATTTTTTCCTGATGTTTAATGGTTTAAAAGCTTTATAGTATACTTACCAAATATAGAAAGTTTACCTTGTAATAGAAGATGTTTTCTAGAATTTCTGCTTTTAAGGATTAGCTAGTGAGAAAAGACAGATGTTACTTCTAACATTTAGAAGAACTAAGAATTTGCAAAAGCCAATGAAAAGGTTACAGAGAGCAAATTGAAACTATTATAAATAGAATAAATATGACTCAATACTTTGATTTGATTCTTTTCTTCATCTTTATAACTTTGCATTTAATGATATTTTAGTCATAACATTTGAAGCATGAGCTGGAGTTTCAATTATGTTTAATTTAATTGTATCATTATATAAAACATTCTATCATTACCAAAGCATTTTATCCACAAAAATAAGCGGCCAACTTGTTTACAGTTGAAGAAGATTAACATGTGGCTTGGTTGTCAGGGTTGCTCTTAGACTTCCTCTTTGTTACTGCTAAGTGCAGCTACCCTGCAAAGAATGGGTTATGGCCCCATAGCCATTGTGATGTAATCAACCATCAAAAGGAAAAATTACAATTTGTGAACTTTGTTTCTATTCCAACTTGAGAATGGTTCCTGAGTTCTATGTTCCTGAGCTTCTATATTCTTTTAAAGATTACACAAGGAAGGCCAGTGTTTCAAGAACATAATATAACCTCTATATGCACTTCAGATATTTCCCTTCACAAAAAAACTGAAAAATTATTATTTGTTGACCTAGAGATAAACAGAAAGTAATTTTCCTTTGACTAATGGCTTAAAAGAATTGTCTAAGCCTTTTTTGTTTTTGTTTGAAATTCTTCTATGTGAAGAGTAGATTCAGGAAACCTCTGAATAAGCTTCTGCTACTACACTTCCCTTTCTTCTGCTGGGTTCCTGCTTTAACTGACCAACTTGGACCTTGCTGATAAACCCAGCCAAACATAATATATTTTTCCAATACTGAATTTAGAACCATATTCAGGCAAATATGATAAATCCCTCCTCTATTAAAACGTGGATAAGATTGAAACTTATAAGCCTTATAAGGTTGTGAGGATCAAATGAGCAGCAGCAATGGCATTCTGGGTTAGTTATTAAAATTATCATCATGTGAGTGAATAAATTTTGCTGTGCAATGTGATCAGTTGTCATGACCATTACTGAAAAGCTAAAATGGGAATTGTTTTAAACCATCTCGTCACAAAATATCACTTAAGGAGTAGCTAGTACCCTGAAATCAGATCATTTATTTAGTCATTTTTAGAAAACCAACCAATAATTTCCAAAGTTTCTTAAAATAGGGATTACTATAAAGATAAACTTAAGGAAAGCTGGGCTCAGTGCCCAAGGTACCAGTTATTTACAAATAACTAAAAAAGAAGTACTCTAGGGGTGGGACTGAGGCTCAGTGGTAGAGTGCTTGCGGCACTGGGTTTGATCCTCAGCACCACATTAAAATAAAATAAAGATATTGTGTCCACATACAACTAAAAAATATATGTTTAAAAAAGTCTTAAAATTATATATAAAAAAAAGAAGTACTATAAAGAAGGAAGCATCACTGGGAGGTGATAATAAAAAAGCAGGTTTTGATTGTACATTTCATATACAAATATCCTAACAGAGCAATTAAATTCAAAAATCTGATTTTTAGCCTTTTCATTAGATTTCTCAAATCTGTTATCTATGTTAATGAAATTAAATATGTTTATTGTGATATCACACAAAAATGACAAGATTTTCATCAAATTTGAGCAGCATATTTGGATGATCTGGCTTAAAATACTATATGAAATTCTCCTTAGGGTACCCTGATGGCTGGAATGGGTAGAGTGGAAATAAGTCACTTTTCTTCATGCAGAGCATTTCAGTTAGGTGAATTTGTAAGCTGATGCTGTTTTTTCTTAGACTTAACCATAATGATGGGACCTCTAGATATTTATTGATTTTTCAAAGTGATTTTAATTCTTTTTGTTCTGTGGACTCATAGAAAGGTCAACTAGTCAACTTAAGCCAACCACTACAGTACACTCCTCTAGTTCCAATTATTCTGGAGGCTGAGGCTGGAGGATTGCAAGCTCAAGGCCAACTTTGGCAACCTAGCAAGACCCTATTGCAAAATAAAACATAAGGAAAGGACAGGGGATATAGCTCAGTGGTATATCACCCTATGTCCTATTCTCAGCACTGCGAAAGAAAATAAAAATCAACTAAACTGCATCCCAGAAATAAGAAGTTTTACTTGTATATTAACAAATTCTTTAAACTTTGATTTCATAAAAAGTCCAAAAATTAGACAAATTGATATTTGCTTGACAGGAAAACAACCTCTGAAGTAGATTGTATTATTGTTCCCAAATATTTTTGTCCCTCCCACTGGCAGGAGTTTACCTCCACACCTTATTCAATAGCAAGCTTGACCTTGATTTGTTCAATGAAATGTGAAAGTAGTGGACCATGGCTGAACAGAAACTGTGAGTCATCACTTGGCTCTGTCATGTTTTTTCCTTTGGGACAAGAATGGTGTATCTCACAGAGCTGATGATACTTTACCTCGGACCCAGAATGATGGGTCACAACTGAAGATAACTATGATTGACAAATATAAGGAAAAGAGATAACCTTGGTTTAAGTCATTTAGATTTGAGAGTTATTGCCGTAGCGTGATTTAGCTTATATTGACTGATTTATTATCTAATTTGAATGAAAAAGATGAGGCAACCAGGAAACCAATATGGATTATGAAGAATATATGAGAATGCTTAAAGATAAGTGGTAGATTTACAGAGCAATTGAAACTAGAACCATTGAATAAGACTGCCTGTCAGAATAGCGTTCTCGTTTAGAGACAATTAAAACTAGTGTCCAAAAAAGAGATATTTGATTGATATCTCAATATGCCATATGTATTTAGGCATTTTATGTGGAGAAAATTAACATGGTCTGAAATATGAGTCCCAGTCTACAGCAATACCACCTTCAGTGCACCTGATCTCGTCTGAAATATGAGCCCCATATCAATTATGTTACGGTCAATTTTAGGTTATGAAATCTAATGTTGGTTCAACCTCTGAAACTTACCACATTTTCTAAGCCCTGGAAAAATAAATGAGCCAGAACTTTTATCTATTTATGCTCATCCACTGGTAAGATCATATTACCAATTCAGAAACAAATTACCAAACACCTTGGGAAATCATTATTTATGGAGCTAAATTCAAAAATCAGAGTTCACAATGCATTTTGATGTACCACGGTAAAAAGGAATCAATATTGGTCCTCTAGAAATCACTGGTTCTTTCAAATTATATCTTCACTTTTTAAGCATCTGACATTTACAATAAGCATCTGGTTCCCTCTGTCCAATTCCATGACACAAAAAAACAACTCTACAAAATCTAAGGATTGATT